GTAGCACATTGTAGCGTGTGTGTTACATAGTAGAACATGATGTAGCAGTCGTGTGTTTACATAGTAGCACATGATGTGAGTGTGTGTTACATAGTAGCACATGATGTAGCAGTGTGTGTTACATAGTAGCACATGATGTAGCAGGTGTGTGTGTTACATAGCACATGTTAGCAGTGTGTGTTACATAGCCCCATGATGTAGCAGGTGTGTTACATAGAACATGATGTAGCAGTGTGTGTTACATAGTAGCACATTGTAGCAGTGTGTGTTACATAGTAGCACATGATGTAGCAGCGTGTGTTACATATAGCACATGATGTAGTGTGTGTTACATAGTAGCACATAAAATGTAGCAGTGTGTGTTACATAGTAGCACATGATTGTAGCAGTGTGTGTTACATAGCACATGATGTAGCAGTGTGTGTTACATAGCACATGATGTAGCAGTGTGTGTTACATAGCACATGATGTAGCAGTGTGTGTTACATAGTAGCACATGATGTAGCAGTGTGTGTTACATAGACATGATGTAGAGTGTGTGTTACATAGCACATGATGTAGCAGTGTGTGTTACATAGCAATGATGTAGCAGCGTGTGTTACATAGCACATGATTTTAGCAGTGTGGTGTTACATAGTACACATGATGTAGCAGCGTGTGTTACATAGCACATGATGTAGCAGCGTGTGTTACATAGCACATGATGTAGCAGTGTGTGTTACATAGTAGCACATGATGTAGCAGTGTGTGTTACATAGTAGCACATGATGTAGCAGCGTGTGTTACATAGCACATGATGTAGCAGTGTGTGTTACATAGCACATGATGTAGCAGTGTGTGTTACATAGCACATGATGTAGCAGCGTGTGTTACATAGCACATGATGTAGCAGTGTGTGTTACATAGCACATGATGTAGCAGTGTGTGTTACATAGCACATGATGTAGCAGCGTGTGTTACATATCACATGATGTAGCAGTGTGTGTTACATAGTAGCACATGATGTAGCAGTGTGTGTTACATAGCACTTGATGTAGCAGTGTGTGTTACATAGCACATGATGTAGCAGCGTGTGTTACATAGCACATGATGTAGCAGTGTGTGTTACATAGTAGCACATGATGTAGCAGCGTGTGTTACATAGCACATGATGTAGCAGTGTGTGTTACATAGTAGCACATGTAGCAGTGTGTGTTACATAGTAGCACATGATGTAGCAGCGTGTGTTACATAGTAGCACATGATGTAGCAGTGTGTGTTACATAGTAGCACATGATGTAGCAGTGTGTGTTACATAGCACATGATGTAGCAGTGTGTGTTACATAGCACATGATGTAGCAGTGTGTGTTACATAGCACATGATGTAGCAGCGTGTGTTACATAGCACATGATGTAGCAGTGTGTGTTACATAGTAGCACATGTAGCAGTGTGTGTTACATAGTAGCACATGATGTAGCAGCGTGTGTTACATATAGCACATGATGTAGCAGCGTGTGTTACATAGTAGCACATGATGTAGCAGTGTGTGTTACATAGTAGCACATGATGTAGCAGTGTGTGTTACATAGCACATGATGTAGCAGTGTGTGTTACATAGCACATGATGTAGCAGCGTGTGTTACATAGCACATGATGTAGCAGTGTGTTACATAGTAGCACATGATGTAGCAGCGTGTGTTACTAGTAGCACATGATGTAGCAGTGTGTTACATAGCACATGATGTAGCAGCGTGTGTTACATAGCACATGATGTAGCAGTGTGTGTTACATAGTAGCACATGATGTAGCAGTGTGTTACATAGTAGCACATGATGTAGCAGTGTGTTACATAGTAGCACATGTTTGTAGCAGTGTGTGTTACATAGCACAGATTGCAGCGTGTGTTACATAGTAGCACATGATGTAGCAGCGTGTGTTACATAGCACATGATGTAGCAGTGTGTGTTACATAGTAGCACATGATGTAGCAGTGTGTGTTACATAGTAGCACATGATGTAGCAGTGTGTGTTACATAGCACATGATGTAGCAGTGTGTGTTACATAGTAGCACATGATGTAGCAGTGTGTGTTACATAGCACATGATGTAGCAGTGTGTGTTACATAGTAGCACATGATGTAGCAGCGTGTGTTACATAGCACATGATGTAGCAGCGTGTGTTACATAGCACATGATGTAGCAGCGTGTGTTACATAGCACATGATGTAGCAGTGTGTGTTACATAGCACATGATGTAGCAGTGTGTGTTACATAGCACATGATGTAGCAGTGTGTGTTACATAGTAGCACATGATGTAGCAGTGTGTGTTACATAGTAGCACATGATGTAGCAGCGTGTGTTACATAGCACATGATGTAGCAGTGTGTGTTACATAGTAGCACATGATGTAGCAGTGTGTGTTACATAGTAGCACATGATGTAGCAGTGTGTGTTACATAGTAGCACATGATGTAGCAGTGTGTTACATAGTAGCACATGATGTAGCAGTGTGTGTTACATAGCACATGATGTAGCAGCGTGTGTTACATAGTAGCACATGATGTAGCAGTGTGTTACATAGTAGCACATGATGTAGCAGCGTGTGTTACATAGCACATGATGTAGCAGTGTGTGTTACATAGTAGACATGATGTAGCAGTGTGTGTTAATAGTAGCACATGATGTAGCATGTGTGTTACATAGTAGCACATGATGTAGCAGTGTGTGTTACATAGTAGCACATGATGTAGCAGCGTGTGTTACATAGTAGCACATGATGTAGCAGTGTGTGTTACATAGTAGCACATGATGTAGCAGTGTGTGTTACATAGTAGCACATGATGTAGCAGTGTGTGTTACATAGCACATGATGTAGCAGTGTGTGTTACATAGCACATGATGTAGCAGTGTTTGTTACATAGCAAATGATGTAGCAGTGTGTGTTACATAGTAGCACATGATGTAGCAGCGTGTGTTACATAGTAGCACATGATGTAGCAGTGTGTTACATAGCACATGATGTAGCAGTGTGTGTTACATAGCACATGATGTAGCGGCGTGTGTTACATAGCACATGATGTAGCAGTGTGTGTTACATAGTAGCACATGATGTAGCAGCGTGTGTTACATAGTAGCACATGATGTAGCAGCGTGTGTTACATAGTAGCACATGATGTAGCAGTGTGTGTTACATAGTAGCACATGATGTAGCAGTGTGTGTTACATAGCACATGATGTAGCAGCGTGTGTTACATAGCACATGATGTAGCAGCGTGTGTTACATAGCACACGATATAGCAGTGTGTGTTACATAGTAGCACATGATGTAGCAGCGTGTGTTACATAGCACATGATGTAGCGTGTGTTACATAGCACACGATATAGCAGTGTGTGTCATAGTAATACATGGTGTGGCAGTTTGTGTTGCATAATATAACATGGTGTGGCAGTTTGTGTTCGATAATATAACATGGTGTGGCAGTTTGTGTTGCATAATATAACATGGTGTGGCAGTTTGTGTTGCATAATATAACATGGTGTGGCAGTTTGTGTTGCATAATATAACATGGTGTGGCAGTTTGTGTTGCATAATATAACATGGTGTGGCAGTTTGTGTTGCATAATATAACATGGTATGGCAGTTTGTGTTGCATAATATATACATGGTATGGCAGTTTGTGTTGCATACTATAACATGGTATGGCAGTTTGTGTTGCATAATATAACATGGTATGGCAGTTTGTGTTGCATAATATAACATGGTATGGCAGTTTGTGTTGCATACTATAACATGGTATGGCAGTTTGTGTTGCATAATATAACATGGTGTGGCAGTTTGTGTTGCATAATATAACATGGTGTGGCAGTTTGTGTTGCATAATATAACATGGTGTGGCAGTTTGTGTTGCATAATATAACATGGTGTGGCAGTTTGTGTTGCATAATATAACATGGGTGGCAGTTTGTGTTGCATAATATAACATGGTGTGGCAGTTTGTGTTGCATAATATAACATGGTGTGGCAGTTTGTGTTGCATAATATAACATGGTTGTGGCAGTTTGTGTTGCATAATATAACATGGTGTGGCAGTTTGTGTTGCATAATATAACATGGTATGGCAGTTTGTGTTGCATAATATAACATGTATGGCAGTTTGTGTTGCATAATATAACATGGTATGGCAGTTTGTGTTGCATACTATAACTGGTATGGCAGTTTGTGTTGCATAATATAACATGGTGTGGCGTTTGTGTTGCATAATATAACATGGTATGGCAGTTTGTGTTGCATAATATAACATGGTGTGGCAGTTTGTGTTGCATAATATAACATGGTGTGGCAGTTTGTGTTGCATAATATAACATGGTGTGGCAGTTTGTGTTGCATAAATAACATGGTGTGGCAGTTTGTGTTGCATAATAAACATGGTGTGGCAGTTTGTGTTGCATAATATAACATGGTGTGGCAGTTTGTGTTGCATATATAACATGGTGTGGCAGTTTGTGTTGCATAATATAACATGGTGTGGCAGTTTGTACTAAATTATTCAACATGTAATTTGTGCCTGATACCGTGATTTGATGGGGTGGGGGAGAAGATGATGGGGGAGGGGAGTTTAGTGGGGAGAGGGTAGAATGATGAGGTAGAGGGGAGACTGGTGAGGGAGAAGGGAGACTGGTGGGTTAGAGGGGAGAGTAGTTAGGAAGGGGGAATATTGGTGGGGAGAGGGGAGGTTAGTGGGGTAAAGAGGGGAGATGTTAATCTGACACACCGATCAGTCCTGCTCTACTGACAATAACGTTGGATTATATGGGTGGAGGTGAGGGGAGAGAAGGAGGGAGGGGAGAGAAGGAGGGAGGGGAGACACAGGAGGAGAGAGGGAAAAATAACATTTGTTCTCACCTCTTTCCCCTCACTTACTCCTCCCACACACAAGAAAAAAATTAAACATCAGTATAACATAATAACATCAGTATAGCATCAACGTAACATCAAGATAGCATCAACAGCAGCTCACCTGGTGTTGCCTGCGTCCACACACTGCTGCTGGTGTACCTGCTGCCTGCACTCTCTGCTCCACCATAGTCTGCACGGAACATATCCTAATATAGCCAAGCTGACACAGGTATCGTAAAGTAGACATCATTAAGGATCGTAATAGTATAGCAAGAATTATTGTCAGTAATATAGCTAATTATATATATATATATATATATATATATATATATATATTATATATATATATATATATATATATATATATATATATATATATAATTGAATCTTGTTTCATAAAAAGCAGTTTTGACAATAATATGAATATTTCCTTTGGTTTATATAAATTAGATCCATTTATAATTAACAGAATTTGTGAAGAATTTAATAATACACTGGACAAATAATAATTTTTAAATTTTCTTGGGTAGAATAGTTTGTGGGTGAGTTGTGCAAAGGACCTATCCAAGTTGGGTCGGCGCGCGTCAGGTGTTTAACCGTTGTGGGATCTGATAGTGAGGTGTTGCCAGACCCCTTATATACCTTCCTTGGATGCTTTACTTTCATAGTTCCTTGATAATGTGAGTAGTCACGAAAGCGCTTGGAATTTCTCTATTCTTTCAGAGTGGTTGTTTTGCATATATATATAATATATATATATATATATATATATATATATATATATATATATATATATATATATATATATATATTATATATATATGTCGTGCCGAATAGGCAGAACTTGCGATCTTGGCTTAAATAGCAACGCTCATCTTGCCATATAGGACAAGTGAAAATTTGCGTATGCAATAATTTCGCCAAAATCATTCTGAACCTAACGAAAAAATATATTTCACTGTGTTTGTTTAGTATTAAATTATTGTAAACAAATCTAAAATATATTTAGTTGGGTTAGGCTAAATAAATTGTTCTTGTTATAATAAGGTTAGGTAAGTTTTCTAAGATTCTTTTGGAGCAAAATTAAAAATTTTTACATTAACATTAATCAAAAAAATATATCTTTAAACTTATAAGAGAAAATTTTAGAAAGGACTTAATTTTAAATGAGTTCTTGCTAATTGACCAGTTTTACATATTCGGCACGACATATATTTTATATATATATATATATATATATATATATATATATATATATATATATAATATATATATATATATTATTATATATATATATATATATTAATAATGCTATTATTATTAATACATATAATTTTTTTATTTAGTTGGTGGTTTTAAGAGATAAAAAAACCGGTTGATAACGAAGGTTGGAGCGGTAAAATATTATTAACAATTAGCGTTATCAGTTGTTTGTTCTTCCTTGCTACGTTATCAATGTTTGTTGACACGTGAGACGCAACCCACCTCTCTGAGGGCTACTAGCCTCCTGATTGGTCGGTTGTGGCGCTGTGATTGGTCGGTTGTGACGCTGTGATTGGTCGGTTGACACGTGAGACGCAACCCACTTCTCTGAGGGCTACTAGCCTCCTGATTGGTCGGTTGTGGCGCTGTGATTGGTCGGTTGTGACGCTGTGATTGGTATGTTGTCAGCTGTGGTGCTCTGGTTGGTCTGCTGTTAGCTGTGGTGCTGTTATTGGTCAGTTGGCAGCTGTGATTGGTCAGTTGTCAGCTGTGATTGGTCAGGTGTCAGCTGTGGTGCTGTTATTGGTCTGTTGTCAGCTGTGATTGGTCAGGTGTCAGCTGTGATTGGTCAGGTGTCAGCTGTGGTGCTGTTATTGGTCTGTTGTCAGCTGTGATTGGTCAGTTGTCAGCTGTGGTGCTGTGATTGGTCTCTTGCTAGTCACTGCTGGTTTAAGGAAGCTCTGTTTTAGTTCCCGCTAAACCTAGTTATCTATGATCGGTTTATTTTCAAACAGTAACTACGTTAAATTGGTTAATAGAAAATTGTTAACCTATAAAAAATTTCAACGGTAACTATGTTAAATTTGTTTAAATGAAATTTTTAACCTTAAACCAATAGTTTTATCAACATTAACTTTGTTAAGTTAACATCGGAACACATAAGGGTAATTTTAGGTAAAATTAGCAAATTTAAGTAAATTAATGTTATATTTAACAAAAAAATATCAAAATAAAACCAGGAGTCGTCCTGGCAGTGAAAGAGTCGTCCTGGCAGTGAAAGAGTCGTCCTGGCAGTGAAGGAGTCGTCCTGGCAGTGAAGGAGTCGTCCTGGCAGCGAAGGAGTCGTCCTGGCAGTGAAAGAGTCGTCCTGGCAGTGAAAGAGTCGTCCTGGCAGTGAAGGAGTCGTCCTGGCAGTGAAGGAGTCGTCCTGGCAGCGAAGGAGTCGTCCTGGCAGTGAAGGAGTCGTTCTGGCAGTGACGGAGTCGTCCTGACAGTGAAGGAGTCATCCTGGCAGTGACGGAGTCGTCCTGGCAGTGACGGAGTCGTCCTGGCAGTGACGGAGTCGTCCTGACAGTGAAGGAGTCGTCCTGGCAGTGACGGAGTCGTCCTGACAGTGAAGGAATCGTCCCGGCAGTGACGGAGTCATCCTGGCAGTGACGGAGTCGTCCTGGCAGTGATGTAGTCGTCCTGGCAGTGAAGGAGTCGTCCTGGCAGTGAAGGAGTCGTCCTGGCAGTGACGGAGTCGTCCTGGCAGTGACGGAATCGTCCTGGCAGTGAAGGAGTCATCCTGGCAGTGACAGAGTCGTCCTGGCAGTGAAGGAGTCGTCCTGGCAGTGAAGGAGTCGTCCTGGCAGTGACGGAGTCGTCCTGGCAGTGACGGAGTCGTCCTGGCAGTGACGGAGTCGTCCGGGCAGTGAAGGAACCGTCCTGGCAGTGACGGAGTCGTCCTGGCAGTGAAGGAGTCATCCTGGCAGTGACGGAGTCGTCCTGGCAGTGACGGAGTCATCCTGGCAGTGACGGAGTCGTCCTGGCAGTGGCGGAGTCGTCCTGGCAGTGACGGAGTCCTCCTGGTAGTGACGGAGTCGTCCTGGCAGTGAAGGAGTCGTCCTGGCAGTGACGGAGTCATCCTGGCAGTGACGGAGTCGTCCTGGAAGTGACGGAGTCGCCCTGGCAGTGAAGGAGTCATCCTGGCAGTGACGGAGTCGTCCTGGCAGTGACGGAGTCATCCTGGTAGTGACGGAGTCGTCCTGGCAGTGACGGAGTCATCCTGGTAGTGACGGAGTCGTCTGGCAGTGAGGAGTCGTCCTGGCAGTGACGGAGTCGTCCTGGCAGTGACGGAGTCGTCCTGGCAGTGACGGAGTCATCCTGGCAGTGACGGAGTCGTCCTGGCAGTGACGGAGTCATCCTGGTAGTGACGGAGTCGTCCTGGCAGTGACGGAGTCGTCCTGGCAGTGACGGAGTCATCCTGGCAGTGACGGAATCGTCCTGGCAGTGACGGAGTCATCCTGGTAGTGACGGAGTCGTCCTGGCAGTGAAGGAGTCGTCCTGGCAGTGACGGAGTCGTCCTGGCAGTGAAGGAGTCATCCATGGTGATAAAACTGCTTCCTGATTGGCTGCCTCCATGCTATTACGCTGAACTCGCCATCTCATTGGCTAATGGGCTGACGTGAAATGTCAGGCTTGTAGTATGATTGGTTGGCTGGCTGATGTGATGAACTGGGCTTGTAATCTTATTGGCTGGCTGATTAAGTGATGAACCGGTGGTGCTGATCCGCTAGTTATTGATTGGTCAAAATGCCGAGGATGACATGTGACTAGCTGGCAGCTGCCTAGATAATGAGACAAGGGTTGTGATTGGCTGGAAGCTGCCTAGATAATGAGACAAGGGTTGTGATTGGCTGGAAGCTGCCTAGATAATGAGACAAGGGTTGTGATTGGCTGGCAACTGCCTAGATAATGAGACAAGGGTTGTGATTGGCTGGAAGCTGCCTAGATAATGAGACAAGGGTTGTGATTGGCTGGAAGCTGCCTAGATAATGAGACAAGGGTTGTGATTGGCTGGAAGCTGCCTAGATAATGAGAAAAGGGGTTTGTGATTGGCTGGAAGCTGCCTAGATAATGAGACAAGGGTTGTGATTGGCTGGAAGCTGCCTAGATAATGAGACAAGGGTTGTGATTGGCTGGAGCTGCCTAGATAATGAGACAAGGGTTGTGATTGGCTGGAAGCTGCCTAGATAATGAGACAAGGGTTGTGATTGGCTGGAAGCTGCCTAGATAATGAGACAAGGGTTGTGATTGGCTGGAAGCTGCCTAGATAATGAGACAAGGGTTGTGATTGGCTGGGAGCTGCCTAGATAATGAGACAAGGGTTGTGATTGGCTGGAAGCTGCCTAGATGATGAGACAAGGGTTGTGATTGGCTGGAAGCTGCCTAGATAATGAGACAAGGGTTGTGATTGGCTGGAAGCTGCCTAGATGATGAGACAAGGGTTGTGATTGGCTGGAAGCTGCCTAGATGATGAGACAAGGGTTGTGATTGGCTGGCAGCTGCCTAGACAGCAAAGCAATGGCTGTGATTGGCTGGCAACTGCCTAGACAACAAAACAAGGGCTGTGATTGGCTGGCAACTGCCTAGACTACAAAACAAGGGCTGTGATTGGCTGGCAACTGCCTAGACAACAAAACAAGGGCTGTGATGGCTGGCAACTGCCTAGACAACAAAACAAGGGCTGTGATTGGCTGGCAACTGCCTAGACAACAAAACAAGGGCTGTGATTGGCTGGCAACTGCCTAGACAACAAAACAAGGGCTGTGATTGGCTGGCAACTGCCTAGACAACAAAACAAGGGCTGTGATTGGCTGGCAACTGCCTAGACAACAAAACAAGGGCTGTGATTGGCTGGCAACTGCCTAGACAACAAAACAAGGGCTGTGATTGGCTGGCAACTGCCTAGACAACAAAACAAGGGCTGTGATTGGCTGGCAACTGCCTAGACAACAAAAACAAGGGTGTGATTGGCTGGCAACTGCCTAGACAACAAAACAAGGGCTGTGATTGGCTGGCAACTGCCTAGACAACAAAACAAGGGCTGTGATTGGCTGGCAACTGCCTAGACAACAAAAAAGGGCTGTGATTGGCTGGCAACTGCCTAGACAAAAACAAGGGCTGTGATTGGCTGGCAACTGCCTAGACAACAAAACAGGGCTG